AATACATACATATACTATGTAAACAAAAACTTTTATTTTGGATGTGATTAATCACGATTAATCGTTTGACAGCACTAATATATATATATATATATATATATATATATATTGTTTTAGAAACTATTTATATTTTTATATATTTTTCTTGATTTTTAAAATATTTTTTTATATAAATGTTTAAATTTTTTAAATAGTGTAATTTCTTATTATTAAGTACACAACTTCAGGTCTTGCATGCTAATGTTGTTATCATTTTGGATAGTTATAATATTGACTAAGTACTTCTTTTATAAAAATTATCATTACAGCGGCTGGTTTTTGTGTTTGAATTTGTGAAATTTTTTGGTGCCTAGACACCACAGACATATCTGCTGTCAGCGGAGATCAATTCATCATCAGGGTGTCATACCTGCCTCACGGTTTCAATTTTTTTTTACAGGTGTTTTTTCCAACTAGAATTAGCTCACAGATGTAGTTCAGGCCTTGATGAAATAAAAAAAAACCTGGCTTTAGATGCAAGAAGCCGGTTTTGGCGTTTGCAGGGCATCAGGTAGCGGGGGCCCTTGGAGGTGAGGGTCCCGCAGGGCTGTTTACCTTTCAGGAAGTCCGTCTTTCCAAGCTCTACGTTTGGACTCTAAACAGCTCTTTCTGGCCAGCAGGTCAACTGCATTGTTCATGTATCGTCAAGGGGCAGAGACTGGGGCATTATTGTGTTTCACTTGTGCTGGCTGGTAGATCGCTAGATGGTAATAAAGTGGATAAGTGGAAAAAATGCAAAAGGGAAGTTAAGAAAGGTGCGGTACATTAACATGTAACTGTTGAAAACTTCGAAAAATGGGCGAGTGAGTGTTGTGTAGTTATAGGCGAAATTATTTGGCCTTGTCCGACTCTTTGGTCTATTGTTTGTGATCTGTTATCACAGTGGCGATGGGGGCCCAATCGCACCCATTGTGATGTAGGCAGTGAAACTGAGCAAACTGGAGACAGACTGATGGAGAGATGTGAATGAGACAGAAAGAAAATAATAGGAAAGAAAAGAAAGTTTGTTTTTAAGGCTAACAGCAGCCATCATCTGTGTTTCCTGAAATTTTTCTAAAGCTGTTGTTATGAGTTAAAGTGAGCCTCTCAGATCAAGGCTGAAGTTCTAGTGTTGACTGAACTCATGGATAAAACTGATTACGTTTCAGACTCATTTCATTTGCTTACCTGTTTGATAGTTAGTGCTCTTATCCGTGTGTGTGACTGTTCTTGAGCTGGCTTACCATCAGGGTCTCTCTCTCTCTCTCCCACACACACACACACACACACATGTCTCCTTCAGCTTATAGAGAGGGAGTGATTGGTGTGTATTTTTGTAACTAATTGCTGTAGATGAATTAGGAGATGAGTACTAGATTTTTTATATTTATAAGTGGGGGGAGAATGAGAGGGGGAAGAGAGGACAGCAAAAGGGGGAGATGGCACATTTGATATGAAAGAGCGTGTCGAATTCCTTTTTTTAGTCGGAAAGTAGGAAAGTATGTCAAAGCTTTTGTTCCACTTCTGGAATCGTGTGTCCATTTAAGGAAGAGAGCAAGTGGACTGAGATGGGGCGAGCGGGGTGATTAAGTGATTTATTTTATTGTTGTTTATTTAGACAAATTAGAGTAAATGGTACTGCTCATTTTGGTAATATGCAAATGAGTCTCTGGCCTCAGGTACGTGATTGGACCTCGGATGATCATGTCACCCCCTTATTCAGCCATATCCCTATCATATCCCTATTCCCTAGACGATGATATTGCTAATTTAATCAGGTGTGAATTTCTTGTTTGGAATGGAAAGTGCTGCAATGTGAGAATCTCAAGCCAACACCCACCTTCATGAACGGCACAGATTAGATTTGAATCATTGTTGATGTTGTGTTCTCTCGCACTTTAAGATGCTGTTCGTCTTTTTCCCACACACCCACACACACCCACAAACAGACTTTCCCTCTCCCCTACATTGTGACTGTAGCTGTTCGCAAGGTCACAGCATTTCTCTTTGCTTCTCGAGAGGGAGTTTGGGTGTATGTGTGTGTTTTCTTGGGGGGGGTTCTATTCTCAGGTCATGCATCCCGACGAGATGAATGAGTCTGTTCGTTAGAGTAAAATTGTTTCGCACACACATTTTCTGGCATGCACAGCAGCTTTAAATAGTCTTGAATGAGCTGAGCAGACAACTGAAAGATCATTTGATAATATTAGCTCCGCCTCCCTCATGAATGTCTATTTTCAGAATGGAATACTTGCTTATTACTGAATACTCTGCAGTATATACTGGATATTATTTTTAAATATATAAAAATGAAAGCATTAAACATTTCAAGAGTCTATGGTACTGTTTGCAATTAAAGACATATGAGCTCACATGATCTCTTCACATTTGCATGTTTAATTGGGCCAGTAATCACCTTTAAAAATTTAATTAGAAACATTTTTAAATGATCATTTGGCTGTTTAATCAGTAAAGAAATAGATGTTCAAAATGGTAATTCATAGTAAAAGTGTGCTCTTTGATATAGTAAACATTGTAAAGTGGCAATCTGAGTATTACTGTTCATGGATACTGAAAGTTTGCATACAGTATGCTATACAATATGGTACAGAAATAGTAGAGTAATACGGTAGTATACTGTTTTGAATGGTCACCTCCAGTTTTGTGTGTCTGAGTGATGTTTCTTTTCCTCTGTGTTAATTCAACCATCTTTTAAAGTATGTGAGGTGGAAGTGACCTTTGACCACCAGTCTGTCTGGAATTCATTGCTGTCTAAGATTAGGAAAGAGAAAGAGGTCATGACCTGTGTCTGCTACTGGAAAGAAGTTTACACTCCTGTCTCCGTGATACTCAGACTTCCCTCTCTTAAAGTTACTGGTGTAATGTACATGTGCAATGTGTGACACTATCAGAATTGCTAATATTCTGTGTGAATGGAAGACTTTTCAAATGTGTAAATAAAAAGAAAGTGGAAAATCATGCTAAGCTGACATGATGTAATAGGTGTAACTGCTGTTTGATAAATGTGTTCAATGGTATATATTCAGTTCATTGAGGCTTGTGCAGAAATATCGCACACACATATATACACACACACACACACACACGCACACACATACACACTCCAGCTCATGCTCATGCTCTGTTTGGGTTTTGTAGGTGTAAGTATGGCTGGCAGGGCCTACTGTGCGATGAGTGTTTGCCGTACCCGGGCTGTGTGCATGGCACTTGTGTGAAACCCTGGACCTGCACCTGTGAGAAGAACTGGGGAGGACTTCTGTGTGACAAAGGTAGGTTGAATTGCCTTCTTTTAAAATTCCTCAGTGGTCGTGTAAATCAACACTCATTCCACCTTGTCAAAAACAGCTCTGTTCACAGCGACTCATTTTGGTGCATGTCTCTTTAAGTTATAATGAGCTACTGCTCACCCCACCCCTCTCTTCCATGGGGCGTGTCAACACAAAACATGTGAATTGCTGCGTTGGATCCCATATTTGGCTTGGAGGTGGTCTTATTGAAATTGCTATCTATCTATGTAGAAACCGGCTACAAATTCAGACTCAGACATCCCATAACAAACTGACTGCGTGTTTTCTTTTCAGCTTTTCTGAGCTGGCAGACACGCCAGTAAACTCACTAAATGCAAAAAAGCTAAATTAAAAAAAAGTGAACATTTCATCCGATGTCCCCTTTAACTAAAATGTGTTACAGACATTTCATGAATACACTAAAAATGATAGAAACTTGTGGAAAATGGGCATCCAATGTCCCCTTTAACAGCACGTATAGATGCCATTATGCAGCATATTGTGTAATTAAATTGATTAAAAATGTAAGAGTTATAAGAACTTTAAAACGTTTATCTGTAGTAACACACATATGCTGTTCAGAAGTTAGTAAGATTTAAAAAAAAATAATTAATACTCTTAATTTATTAAAAGAGACAGTAAAGACATTTATAATGTTATAGGAAATTTCTATTTCATATAAATGCTGTTCTTTTATCAACACTGATAATAAGAAGAAATGTTGCTTGAGTGCCAAATTACTATATTATTATGATTTCTGATGGATCATGTGACACTGAAGACTGCTGGAAATTCAGCTTTACCGTGTGAGGAATAAACTACATTTTAAATATATTAAAATAGAAATTAGTTATTTTAAATTGTAATAATATTTCACAATATTACTGTTTTTACTTTATATTTGATCCAATAAACGCAACATTGAAGAGCATATAAATCTTACTTAACCCAAACTTTTGAACAGTAGTTTATCTGAACAAAAAAGGACCCTTTTATAGGAGATTCCTGGTGTTATGACCTAAAATGTTTCACTTAGATCAAAAATGTTTTGTTAAGATAGTAAATGAATGCAGTTGAGGTCTGTTTCCTCTCACTTTAGGCATTAATTGACATCCACACACATTTTTCTGCTCTGAGTGGAGTGTTGCAGCTTTTTCTGCCATATTCTTTCCTGCTGGAAAAGATTGATTGTGTATTGTTTATTTATGTGTTTCTGTACAGATTTAAATTACTGCGGCACACACAAGCCCTGTGTAAATGGAGGCACGTGTCTGAATACAGAGCCAGATGAATATTTCTGCTCCTGCCCTGAGGGTTACTCCGGCAAAAACTGTCATATCGGTAAGAAAGCTTAGTAAAATTTGACAAAAGTTGTTATATAATTCTCAAAACTAATAGTTTTAATATACAAGTGTAGGAATGGCAAAAAAATATATATAGATAAGAAATGCTTATGCCAACCTGTTATTTGAGTTTAACAAGGTCTACCAAACATGTGTGTGCGTGTTTGTACCTTACAGCCGAGCATGCGTGCATGTCAAACCCATGTGCAAATGGCGGGACATGTCATGAGCTGGCTTCAGGGTTTGAGTGCCAATGTCCCCCAGGGTGGGACGGCCCAACTTGTGCTAAAGGTCAGAAGTCATTCACTTTTTATTGACTCTAGATGAGGCAGACTACACTAGATATTTACATGTTATGCATACTTATTTAAATTTTCTGTATGTTTTTCGTTTGTGTGTGCACATTTCAGACAAAGATGAGTGCTCGTCAAACCCGTGCGCTCATGGGGGGACCTGCTTTGATCTGGAGAATGGCTTTGAATGTTTATGCCTCCCACAGTGGACCGGCAAGACCTGTCAGATAGGTGAGACCGAGTGTGTGCATGAATTCATATGATTGATTTTATGCTCAAATCTATTGGGGGCCACAAAACAGTACCACTTTTAACTGGATCGTACCATGTCGAAACAGGGGGCCGGATGGCACCTCTCAAATATCAGCAGTTCTCTAAGTGTGTAATGCGTAGTGCTTGTTTAATGTAATGAATTGTGTAACTGAATGTCGCGTTTTGATTGTTTTTGTGAGTGCATGAGTGTGTGTGATATGCCTGCAACTATGTATATATTTTGGCATTGCGTGCTTGGATGTTTATTTAACCTGAGTTTGCGGGTATGTACTGTATGTGTGTGATGTGGCAGATAGCTGAATATTATCTGTAACCGGACCTAGGTGATTTAAGTAAAGCTATATATATCATCAGGCCTGGCAACTGCCAAGACGGGGGCTAAATTTATCTTTTTGCGTGACTATATCAGAGTGATCATGGGGTGGAGAAAGAGGCTCAAAAGGGGTGTGGTGGAAGTATTTTACTCCGCTGCTGCGAGTGCGACAGGAAATGCTTTATAACCTGTAAACAAGCGCAGTGTGGAATTGTAGCCGTGGTGTCTGGTTATGGGGGCGGGTCGGGTTTCCCAGGTTGCACTCTGTTCTCAGGTGTGGAGCGGACAGGGTTACCTCTGCAGGATTAAGAAGAGAGTTCGATTTCATCTGTGGTACAACATTAGTTCCATATAGCTACAGCGCCACACACAACTTTTATTCACTTTTTATACACATTATAGTCACCTATACACATTAAACATATTATAATATGTTATTAAACATTGAACATATCGGCAGGGTTTACCAAATGGAGGTTTGCAAGGGACCTGCACATGGTTCATGAGTTGTTGAAAAAGCTAATAATTAATAATATTGAATGTAAAATAAAAATACTGTAAATAAATGGGGGAATAGATATTCTGCATATTTCAGAGTTATAATGCAAATTTCATTATTATAATGATCAAATAAGAAAACTATTGTAATTTACAACAGTAATATATTGCTGTCTTTATTTTTATAATTAAGTTAAAACATACTAAACTACTAGTAATATTTATTGATATTAATATTATTATTTTTAATTAAAATATATATTGTTATATAAATATATATAATTATTATTATTAAAATATCAGGATGTACTTGAAGTAAATATTGCCCCCCCACTGGATAAAGATGAAAGATTTTTATATATATATATAAAAAAGAAGATTTTTTTACTCACAATTTCTACTCAATAAAGTATTTTAGAGCTTGGCATAAATATGGTATAAATTTATTACAAAAATAGACAAAAAATATTTTATTAATTTTATGCCTTTTCCAGGTCTAGAAATCCCACTTTCAAAATAAGGCTTCCTCATATATCAACGTTTTCAAAGAACCCTGGTTTGTAAATAAAAAATAATTAAATAAAAATTAAATAAACAAATAAATAAAAATAAGGCAACTAAAATCTAAATATTTCTTATTTTTAATCACCCCAACTATTTATGCTTATTATGCCTTATATTAAAGGGGTCATATGATGCTATTTTAAAGATCATTATTTTGTGTATTTGGTGTAACAGAATATGTTGACACGCTTTAATGTTCAAAAAACACATAATTTTTCAAATACTGTACATTATTGTAGTTCCTCTATACCCCACCTCTCTCAAACGCGT